ATTTTCTTCTTGACTAGTTATATTTTTACCATATATTTGTCAGTGTATTTTAGAAAATGATTACAGGTTAATCACTCAGAGGTGGTAATGCACTGGAACAGGTTGCCCAGAGAGTTTGTGGATGCCCCATTCCTGGAGGCACTCAACGCCAGGCTGAATGTGGCTCAGGGCAGCCTGGTTTAGTGGTTGGCAACTCTGCCCACAGCAGGAGGGTTGAAACTAGATGATCTTTGATATCCTTTTCAACACAAGCCATTCTATGATTCTATGTGCATGTCTGCTGTAAGTCACCATCATTACCATCACCATTATTTATATGCTCTTTAGAGTAGATTGTCTGCTCTCGTAGAATAACTACTGGTTTCTTGCCATAAATTGGTGAATCACGTTTTCTATGTCTCATATTTTTAATAGTTGTGATGTTTTCTGCTTCCTTTTGGAAATCTTCAGTGGCTAGATTATTTTTAACCTTGGTAAAAAAAGTCTAAGCTAAGATGAACAATCAAGTAGATGATCTAGTATGTTCATTTGGAAAAGGAGTAAATATCCCTTTCCAACATACAGATTTCACAATTTTCATTTTGTTCCATTTTGTACTCCGTTCAGTTATCTTTTGTCTATTAGAATGAAACCATTCCTTATAAGAAGAACAAAATTTGCTTTGTTGACGTTTAAATGCATTTGTTGTGTTTATTTGTCATTTTAAATATGTAATAAAAAATATATTGAACTTTATCATCATACAATTGCAAACAATTTATGAAATATGCCTTACTCTCTGCTAAGATAATTCATTTCAAATTCTACACTGAAAAGAACGCATTAAAAAGAGACATTTCTAATTTATTCTTGTGTTTGCAGCTTGTAGAGGAGTGATATTATTCCCCAGACAATATGCCTTGCTTTTTAAAACAGCTGTACTCATGATCACAAAAACAGAGATGCTAGTTGAAATTTCTTTCCAGACATGAGAAATCAAGAGAAAGATAATGTAAATTTTTTTTTTCTTCCACTTTTTGATTGAAAAATGAAATAATTATGGTCTTCTGGTTTTTCCCTACATACTAGTGTTTTTCTATGATGAGTGAGTAGAAGCTTTTGTCTTAACAACTTTTGATAGAAAAAAGGAAAAACTATTTTACATTAGAAATTCAAAAACTTAAAACTAGTTCTTTAGTGACTTTTATCATGATACATACGTTTTCTTTGATTTAGAATCTCCTTACTAACAGAGAGGTAACATTTTTCTAGCTACTGTACACTGTATTTCCCATTGCTCATGTTCACCAGATCTCCATACATCACTACCCCTAGTCAATACAGAAGGATTCTTTAGACCGGTCTTATGGCAGTGGCATTTGGGGGAATCTCAATTATGCAGGGCATTCACAAATGTATGTTGTGCCACTCACTTACTGTTACAAAGGACCTATTTTTTAAGCTGTCAAAGAAACACTTGTGGCATTACAGAAACAAGAGAAAAGCTGTCAATTCTATTATTAAATTGACATTCCACACATGCTACTTTCTGATGACAGTCCATAATAAAGTTGCCCTATTTCTTTGCCCTCTATTCATGTCACTACCTAAAGTTTGCTCTCTTGCATCTCCCTCAGACACTGACTGATAGAGCATCAGACATGTAAGCTCAACAAGAGGTCGTCATTGTGGTGCACTGACAGACATTTATAACACCTGAAAAAAAGAGGGGAATGAAGGTCCTGAAGAACCCTTGGTACACTAGGCCATTACAATGCATGGAGCAAGGACAGTGACATCTCCCAGGGTACTGTCAATCAAAGAGTACTGAGACAAAACCAGACAACAGAGACTATTGTAAACCCATTGGAGGGAAAAGGGAAAAAAAAAAAAAGCATAACAAGTCTTTGTTTTGACCTTCAGAACAGACACATCTGTGTTACTCTAACTGCTGCAAGCTTACAGGATAGCATGGGTTGGTCTGACCCCAATGGGAACAAATTGAATGCTAATTCTCTTGTACCCTGATCTCCAATGAGGCTGACAGTGCCAACTAGACTTCTTGGGAAAAGGAGCACCAGCTTTCCATGCTTCTTTGTTTTTAGATTCATTTAAAATACATAGGTTGAAGAAGCTTGGATTTCCCAGGTAAGCTGTCTCACCATGCATCCTGTTGGGAATCTTCTATGAAGACAGCAAGACAAGAGTAGCTAGCTCTCGCCCTCAGGGGTGTCTCGTTTAGTAAGAGCTTGTGACTGACAGCTGTTAAGAAGAATGACAAGATATTTTACATCTGTTTAGTGTCTTGACTCTCAGCCATTCCTTTCCACACTGGCTATTGTCATTCCTCCTATATCCAGGAATCCTACTGCTGCCAATGCAAATGTCAGACCACTGCGGAGCTATAGTGCAATGCAGCATACATTATACAAGAAATGAAAAGTGGATTGGGGTCACTGCATAGGGGAATGCAATGTTTCCAAAGTACGTTCATTATCCCAGACCTAAGAGTTTGGACCAATAATAACACCATTGGCTATTCTGTTGCACATACAAAACTCAAGAGTGAATCAAACACACAAAATTCTTTCCACATTTATTTATTTTCCTTGTAATTTACTGATGTAGTTATTTTGGTGCAAACTTTTATAATTCATCCACTACAGCACATTTGCAGCACTAGTTATGAATGGACATAACATCCATAGAACAATCATTAGGGGTTGGGATTTTCATGATTTCTCTATTCTCATCAAATCTGCTGACTATTAAGCAGTTGTTTTTCTGTAGCTTGAAAGAAACAGCATACAAAGTGGGTTATAAAAAAACCATGCATTTGTTTTGGAAAAGAACAGATAAATTAATCATATGACTTCAAATACCAATTACAACCAAGAAGACAAAATGTATTATAACGGAAATGTTTTGTCTAATTAGTAAGGACAGTGCTTTTAGCACTAAGTCTGGCCCGACAACTGCAATTAAAGAAAAGGAATAAAGTTCACAATGTGAAACCAGAAATTACCTGCCTGATGAAGACTATCTAAACCACAAGAAATGTACACTTCTTAAAATAAACAATAATTATAATGACCCCATTCAATCTTCATCACTCTTCAACCCATTCCAAGTCAAAAGACTGTGTAAATTATGAGCTCTTCAGCATGCCTGGAATGTTAACAAATCTGGGCTCTGGAGCAGTTGGTGGCAAGTGAACTTGGAAGTTAAGGATCATTCACAGGATTTTAGTCAGCAATAGAAGTAACGTCATCCTTCAGCTAAACACATCTCATGCCCTTTTAGGCAAACCTAAATTCAGCTCATCACTTTTCCACAAAGGCAAAGCAATCTACTGCACAACAGTGTTCCACATTCTTGGTGCATGATTCTAATGCATAAGAGAAACACAGCACTTCTGAATTTTCCTTGTCTTGCATGTGAAGTCCTGTCAGCTCAAGCTAAGAATGTTCTGAATAATACGTCAGTGATCTTCTGGATATCTTTTTAAACCAAGAAGATGTGTCAGTATTGTTTTCTTCAGGAATTAATAACAGAATTACATGTGAAAAAGCCGTGAGATTCTGCATCCATGTTAGTCTACAGAAGAAAATAGAACGCAGTCTAATTTCCTAGACTGCAGATCTGAAAAGTCTGGAAAAGAAGATCTGAAAAGCTGGCAATTAAAAGGGGTATGAAAGCCACATGAGGACAGCCGAAGTACAGCACTACTAAAAAAAGGAATTCTACTCAGGTGATAAATCTTAAGTATCATAGCAGTCAGCAGAGGTAAATACTTTCCTACTCATTACAATCCCTTTCAATCTTTGTGAAGAAAAATATGGAGAAAACACGTGCACCCCCATACTCTCTCATATACCTAGTGCAACTGGGACAGCTAGTGAAAACAAAGCCATTGAGTACATGTGAAATTGACAATAAATCATTTGGTCTACATATTGATAGAATTGCTACTGAATAAACACTTCAGATAAGCAACTAAAAAAAACCAACCACCCAAGCTCCAATTGCCTGTTTGAATTCCACTCAACAATTATAATCTGACATAAGCAAATCCATTGATTTGATACCAAAAATTCAATGTAACTGCTACCAGATTGGCATCCTGACTAGAACTCAACACCAATGGTGTCACGCACATGGACAGTCCCATACATTCTCATTTCTTCAACTCTTAAAAAATCTGAAGGAGTACTCATGCATATTCTTACAAAACATGATGATAGAAAAGCAGTAGGAAGAGGCAAGGTTTGCATTTTGCTCTTTATCTTCCAAGACCCACAGAGAAAATATTAGGTCTGATTTTGTTCTTCAGGCACACAGCTCTATTTTTCCTGTACAATGTAGCTGTTGGCGTAACATAGGAACAAGAGGCTGGCAAAATGGTATGAAACAAGTAGTCCAGATCTTTTTCAAGCTCTTCCTGCTGCCACTACATAACTAAAAGCTTAATAAAATGTGCTACTAAGATGCAAACATCTTGCACACATTGAAGTATTTTCTTTATTAACTTAAGTGATAAACCTGCCCATTCAATGCACATGTTCAAATATTAGCAATCTTGACCATCTGAGCAAAATCTAATATAAAAAACGAAGTGATTTTCAGATGATGATGATAACATCCAACATACTCCTTCCCAAGTCCAAAACTTAGAAGATGGAAAAAGATTTCTACAATCTGCTGGTTCACAAGAGAGAAGAAACTATTGTGTGGGTTTGAACTTTGGTGTGCTGCCTTTAAGCATTTGGTGGTACTCACAACTGCTTAAGAAGATATTTGGAATTCCAACATGAAAGGTCTGTTTCATATTTTAAGCCCAATAAATCTCGATCACAGCTCTCAATTGAGACAGCAGTCTGGCAAAACTACATGGACAGCAGACACTTTACTGTGGCTCTTTCTCCCTTCTCAGCCTCTCATTCCCTCAGCCTTTCCCTTCCCCCTCTTTCCCTTCCTCCCCCTCCCCACCCCCCCCCCTTCAGTTGAAGTTCATTGTTGCCAGAAAAAACAAGAAACAGCGTATCTGAAATTTAATCTTCCTTAAATTTGCAGAGCAGCCTACAGAGAAGATTAACTACATAAGCTGGACATATTTCATTATTCCTCTTAGGACATGCATAATGACTTTCCCCCACTCAGTGTTTTCTGTTGCTGTTGATTATTGAGTTTCACTCCTCAGTAAATTCAGTCTCAGCAAAGGTAGGACTGTAATTTTTTCTTGTTGCTTTGTTTTGGTATTTGTTTGTTTGCCTATGTCTTTTTTTTTTTTTTTTTTTTTTTTTTAAAAAATTTTTTTTAAAAATTTTTTTTTTTTTTTTTTTTTTTTTTCCCCAAAGGATAAATATACAGGTGCTGATGTGGAGATATTTTTGACAGATGTACATACTAAGAGCAAACAGCAAACTATCTGATGCTTAATTACAACATGTAAGTTACAGTTCAGTCAACAGATGTGATAAGAAAGTTATATTTTCAATGCACTTCAGAAAAATGTCTCACTATGTCTTGCTATATTGGCCCAGGAAGTTGACAGCTGTAATGTGCTTCTTGTTGCTCACCAGTACTCAACTGACAAAGATATTGCAAAAGCTGGTTGAAGAATGTCTAGGTGATACAGTATAGTTCTTAAAACTAACTTTTTTAAGACCAAAGACTGTTTAGGTATGAACTAAGCCTGATGAGTCCTGTAGAAACTCTGTGGTAGTCTGATATTCTTGGGTGAATATCACTTAGGACTTAACACAGAAAAATGAGCATATTCTGTGAGGAACTGATGTCCTCTTGTTTCCTCTGGAGGGTCTTCCTTAGAAGATCAGCATGTTTACAAATCAAAGTGACAGCAGAGTAAGCCAGTAAACTGATGAAGACATTTCATTTCTAACAATATGATGCAGACTTTTAGTTACGCAGATGTCTACAGCTTGTAGACAGAGAAAAGGCAAAAATTGACATATCTAAAACCTAAGTGTAAATGAGTTTTCTTGCAGCCAAATTTAGAATTGAAGCCAGACATTCAATGTTATTACTGTTCATAGATTCTTTGCTTCGTAAGTCAGAAATGACAAATATCAACAAATTGCCACCTGCTTTGATACAAGTTTGCATCACCTAATTCCTAGATCAATCCTATAATATTGGTGACTGATATCATCTCCATAGGCAAGCTTGAAATTCAATACCTATGTAATGTCTATCAGAGATAAGGTAATTCTACAATGAGGGACTAAAATAAAACAGTAACATCTTGTGTAAGCATGTGCATGACTGAACAGTTTTAATTTTGGCAGGAAAAAAAAAAAGGCAGAATAACTACCACTTTAATTTTTGGCTCTGCTTTCAGTACTCATAGGGCATATGTGAGAACATGTGTGTATCCAAAGGGATAGAAGGAAAAGAAAGCTCTTATCAAACTAAGCAAGCTTGATCCATCTTTCACCCCAAACTTCCCACAGTTCTGGATGCAGAATTTTATTTTCCCTTGTATGGCAGATTTAACAGCACAGTATATTACAAAAACTCAAAATATCCACGACTTTGGCAATTTTATATGGCAATCTACTTGTGCTTAGAGAATAAGTACAGAAGTTAGTTAGAAAGCCTGTTCTGAATGTTAATGGAAGGTCCTTACAGTGGAAAAGGGCCCTATTCATAGTAGTTCTCTAGCTCCTGTTTGTGTCACACTGAAGTTAATGCACCTAAGTACAGTTCTCATAATAAAAGACTTGAGTGGTAGACCTCATACATAAATTATACACAAGACATTAATACAGATGTAGAAACAGGAATGCTTAGGAACATTTCGAAGTAAGAGGAACAAGTTTATACCAAGATCTTGGCCCTTACAAAGCTCCATCTAGATAATACCTGTGCCATGAGGGATAATAGTGATAGCTCAACTAAGCACCTGAGATTTGATTTTGTAATGCACAGTGCAGTAACACAGAGGGGTAGCTCTGCAGGCAAAGTATGAAGAAATAGTCTGCCCTCTGCCTGGCCTCGTCAGTCATATGTTTCAAGCATCCAGGAAACAGAATCTTGGGGGATGTACGGAGGGGAGAAATTACACATAAATTAGGTAAAATACCAAAACAGATTATGGCACTCGGCTTTCTTCCCTTTAATGACTAAAGTAAACCTTTTGGCTTTTTTTTGGAGGTCAGGTTTTGTTTTCATTTGGTTTTATGAGAATATGTTTTTATTGGTTTTGTAGTATCACACAGAATACCTTTCAGAACAGACCTGCCATTAAATGGTATCTCTATAAGCCAATGCAACAGTAAAGCCTGCTGAAAACAATGTCTCTCCTCCATCACTGCCATGATTTCAAGAAATTAAAAGTAAATAAGACCACATTTTCTACAGAAGCTTTTTCTTTCCTAGAGAATTTGTTGTGTTGTATGACTGGGATTTTCTCCTTATTTTGAAGGCAGGAGAGGAAGAGTTTAGAAAAGACAATCTTTTCAAGAATTCACTCTTCTAATATAAATTGTCAACAAGACTTCAGTTTGCAATAATTTTTCTTTAAAGGAATTTGATAAAAACAGGTGGGCACTCCTCTCAGCAGGAAACTTAAGAACTTCATTTTCTTAGCAGCAGCATTCAGAAGTCCTTCCAACGACACTTTTTATAAAGCAGTTACTGTATCACAGGCCAGAATAAAGTGAATTTACTAAGTCATAGTTCTCCTCAGATCTAAATCTGTCTTTGAATGACCTTCCTGATTTAATCCAGATCATAAACATGCTGAACATCCTTTCCTATATACTTGGGAGAAGTGACTGAAATGGAATGCAGCATCAGCACTACCTTTATTTGTAATTTATCTGAGAGGTGTTCCTATAAATGATAAGCACAGTTCTCTTTTTTCTGTTTATGCTTTTACGAATGGCTCATCAAACCCACTGATATCCTGAATAGGTGTTCCATTATAAAAGACATGGTGTTTTTGCTATTGTAATAATGTGGGATTTATTATTTTTTTTTCTGCAAAAGTTATTATGTTTTCGAACTTAAAAATACTAAGAAAAAAAGAGGAAAAAAAGATGAAAAACTAAAGAGAAACAAATTTGGGATTTTTTTCATCTTTTTGCTGCTGTGTTGTGTCTTTTTCTTTTCTTTTGTTTTGTTTTTAATGGAAAAATCTAAATTTAGATGCCATTGAAAATCTTGATATCTAGACCTCACCTGTCCTAAATTCCAATGCCATTGGTGCCTTATCCTCTGAATCTGAGGGTCAAGTAAGCAAGATCTAATGAAATATAATTGTAAGACATGACAAAACAGTACAATAATGCTGCTTCACTATCTGGAAAAGATTTGGTAGGCCTACCTCAAGTGTCAAGATCCTGTAGGGTGAAAATGCTTCAGAAGAAAAAAAAAAAAAAAAACACATTTCTTTGTATCCCTTAATTCTGTATTCCATCACATTTATGACTCTAAGGAAAAAAAGTGGGAATTTGAAAAGATGTGGAAGAAACAAGACTTGAAAGGAACGGGCTCAACTGAAAGCAGACACTGCTAGAAACAGAACTGTGCATCTCATGCCCTTAAAGTTCTGCCTCTAAGAAGTATATTGGTTGCAAAGCAGTATATCACTTGTATTACTTATTTCTTTCCACAACCTGACATCACAGAACTAAACATCCTCAAATGAAAATGAGGAATGACCAACCTCCGAGGAGGTGCTGAAAATTTTTTTACCAAGTACAACCCAAATTAACAACTGACAGAAGAATATGATTTAGCAGCCTAGTTTGAAATGTCAGTGCCTACTAATGTATTTAAATATGTATTCTAACCAGGACAGGCAATAATGATTTTCCCAGGCTGTGTATCATTTTCTATCATTAAGATAATAGCTTAGGAGGCTGGATATTGGACTAAAAGAATATATTTCTTTATGTTTGTGTTTAAATAATTTGAAAGTGTAATCCTCAACAAGCTGCATCACCAAAATATTTGTAGAGGTGTGTGGCTTTCAAAAAGGCAGTCCTTGTCTTTACCAAATAAGAAAAACAGAAGTGGATTTTCTACTAAGGCCCATTGTGAGAACAGAGAACTGCAGCACTCTCCTGATTTTAAGTGCCCAGGAATGCCTGGGTATAGTTTACAGAAAAAAGATTTATTGCTTCCAGCTGGGAAACCCAAGAAGGGAGGTATTCCTAATATAATTTTCTATATTGTGTGCAGAACAGATATAAAGTGTATCCATGATACACAGACAACACCAAATACAAGAATAAATGTCCCTATTTACAATGGGATAGAATATTTCTACTTACATGCAGTTCTGACGTAAATTGAAGTAAGGGTATAGCACATTGTACAAGAAGAAAACAACTGTATTACTGATGGCAGGAGCTCTGTGACCTGACCTTCAGATTTGAACATGCAGCCTACCTTGACACCACAAGCATGCTTGGAGAAGGCAGCAGCTGTGCCAAAATAACTGCAATTTACTACAACACTGGAAGGCATAAAATATGAAAAGCTCTTCAGAAAATATCCCTAGTACCATGTCATTAAAATTGTTTATCTGTTACTAAGTCAAGAAATTAGGGCAATAAAAGATGGCTGTGGTGGAGGACCAAAGAACACAAATCTATTACTGAGGCTCAGGGACCAGCAAGTACTTGTTTTCTTTCAGGCATGCAACCTTGTTTTATTTCTCTCCTTTCTTCCTGTAATTTACTTCTGAACTGAAGAAGAATCTTTCTCGCCAGATCTAACCTTGCTCTTTCTTCAGCTCCTTACACACCTGACTCATTTCTTTATCTTCAGCTTAAAAAAAGATCTACTTCTGGCTGTGCAGCACACCACTCACTTGGTGGTTAAGCTCTTGAGCAGGGGGACAGAACAAACCAATTCATTAGAAGTGCTCATGGAAAAGCCAAGATGTCCTGTGTTCACTTAGCCCAATAAATATAGAAGGTCACATTTTTTCAATCAAAACATTTTTCAGCAAAAGAAGGAAAAGGCCTCTCTTTCTGAAATGGATACTTCTGGAGATAATGTGTTTTGTTCAAATTATTCGTTTTTGTCTATGGCTAAGTGAGTCCAAAATATTTCATGCACGTTTCTGAAAGCCAAGATTTTATCAAAACTTTTCAAAAAAATTGGAAAATATAACTGGAATTCTGGGTTCTCAGCTGTTTTAGTTGATTCTTTCTGTTAATATTTTTAAACAAAACATTTCTTGA